AGTTTCAATAACAAAGGTACGAATACCATGTACCAGGGTTAGCAAACTTGAAGAATGACACTTACATCATACCGCGTTTCAATAACAAAGGTACAAATACAACGTACCAGGGTTAGCAAACACGGAGTATGATACAAGAAACACATAAACATATGTAAAACTCAGGTTAACAAACACGAAGTAATAACATATCATTCCGGGTTTGCACAAACAATGGTACAAATACAACATACCAGGGTTAGCAAACACGAGGTACAACGTCATAACCGATTTTCAATAACAAAGGTACAAATACAACGTACCAGGGTTAGCAAACACGATGTATGATACAGGAAGAACATTAAACATAAGTAAAATACGCAATATAAACATTCAGTTAGAAGGTGACTTATAATGATAACTTTATGATTTCTTTGTAGATACATCAAGGATATATATTAATTGAGTCCAACAGATAGTAGAATGTGTACTTTCCGCTTCATTCCATGTTCCTTGTTTGGTTGTGGGTTTAGAGTAGATGTACCCAGTCTACTATCTATTCGATCTTGACTATATATATATATATATATATATATATATATATATATATATATATATATATATATATAGATATATTTCGTATACATCAGTAATCATAAGGAGTACTAAGGTGTAGGTCAGGTCATAGTATATAAATTCATTACACACCATTTTCTAGTACAAAAACAGACTTTCAGATAGAACATGAGTATACTAAACTAGAAACTTATCAGTGAAAGGTTTAATCCATTTTATTAGACCAGTACAACTTAAAGGACCTTAAGTGGTTAATTATATAATACCTTAGTTTATACATCAGGGTTAATATATATATATATATATATATATATATATATATATATCTGTAATCTCCAACAGCTAGTGATAGTTGTGTTTTTCCGCCTTACTACCATGTTCCTGTTCCTTGTTTGGTTTGGGCTTAGGCAGATTCACACAGTTAACTATCTGTTCGATATTAGATCATGTATAACTAATGTAAACTAAGTGATTATAGAAGGAACTATTGTGGTTACTATTTTACTAAAGGAACTGTTACAGTTAACTCCGTGAGTACCAAATGAATGCACCAGAGTTATTTACAATGAAGATCTAACAAACAATGGGATGTGTGACTTCCGCCTTATTCCCTGTTCCTTGTTTGGTTGTGGGTTTAGGGAAGATTCACACAGTCGATTGTTTGTTTGATCTGTATTCTATATAACTTATATTCATTTAGTACCCATAGAAAGGATTGTAGAGTCATTTATACTTATCTTTCATAACATCAGAAGGTATAGGACCTTCTGAGGAACATGCAAACTTTTCTAAAAGAGCTTTCAACTTACTAATACATCACTTAAATACTTATGAACTCACCAGCTTAAATGTTGATCTACTCTTTCAAAATAACTTGTATTCTCAGGTAACTGTTAGGCAGGTACACGTACTGGGATTCAGAAGATGGAGCATAGTAGCTTCATGTCTTATTTTGTCATTTACTTGTGTAATCTATCTTATGTGAAACACATACTTGGTAAACACTTTCTTCTAATGAAATGGTTGTTTATTACTTTGATTACTATGATGCATGTCTTGTGATACTAAACATGACGTCCTCCGCCCCCGAACGTTTCCGCCGTTCCGGTTTGGGGGTGTGACATTATCTCATAACCTAACCCTAATATCTTCAGCCTTCATCCCTCTAAACCCTAAAAATCGACCCTTAGCCCCCATTTGAGTGATTTTAGAGCCTCAAAGTGATTTATGTGTGTTTTGGTGCTTAAGGAGAAAGAAGGAGCTTCTTGAAGGGTCATTGTTTGACTTGGAGCTTTTGGATCCAGACTTTATGCACCTAGATCTAACTTCTGGAGGTATAAAGTCTCAACCTTGACAACTCTATCTTGTAGATCTAGCTAGGTGGCACTTTGTTATGATTTCAGTCCCTTTGTGGTGGTTCTTGTGAGTAGAAGTTACTCCAGAACCTTTGAGCTTCATATTTGGCCTTTATTGGGGTTATGGAGTCATAAAGTTTAGATCTTGATGAGTATAAACCTTCATGCATGATTTGGTAGTCTTTTGGTGAAGCTTGAGACTTAGGGTTTTGATTTGGGTCCCAATAAGTCATGCTAAGTCATAAAGTCAGGAACTTTATGAATTAAGAAGTCCCTTTGAATCAGATTTGGAAGTTTTGAGTAAGGTCTTAAGGTATTAAGAGGTTTTTAAGACATTTTGGAGTGATTTTGATCTTTGGAATTCATCTATGGTGTTTGGGCTTCATTAAGCCATGCAAAATCTTAAAGCATTCGACTTTATGGATCAAGTCACTTATATTTAGCTATTCTGAGGTTTTGGACGTCTTGGCTTAATGGATTAAAAGCTAGAATTAAGAGTTGGTCAAACAGGAGGAGTACGTTGGGCGTACAATCCTGTGCATGCATCGTACAAGCTCTTAAGCCAGTATGTTTAGCGTACAAGTTGAGTACGCCCCACATACTCAGCAGAGTGGGATTTTGGTTTTTGGGCTTCGGGTTAGGCCATCTTTTGGGCTTTGTTGTTTTGGGCCCTGTTGGGCCATCAAGTTTTGGGTTGATATTTATTTGTGGAGGCCCACTATGGATTTGGCCCAATTTGGAAAATTGGGCCTTGGATAGTTTTTGGTATTTGGGCCTTGTGGATTATTAGGTTTGGATCTAAGTCTTGGACTAAAAGTAGGTGAGGGGTAAATTGGTCATTTACCCTAGTAATGGATTTATGGTTATGGATTGGAATCCAATTGTTGATTGGGTGTTGTTTTGACTTCGATAGTTCGGGGATTTGTCAGCCAGCAGTCAATGATGTTCTGTTTGATTCGGCAGTGCGAGGTGAGTCTTCTCACTATATCCATGGGTAGAAGACACCAATGCTTGCCCATTATGTGTTATGTGGTATGCTAGTTGTCTTTATGATACTTGAATGGAAGACCCCGGGGGTAGCCTGTGACACTTGGATATTAGACCATGGGGGGAGCCCATGACATTCCAGGTAAAGACCATGGGGGGAGCCCATGACATTCCAGATAAAGACCATGGGGGGAGCCCATGACAACTATATGTATGTTGCATGATAATCTATAGTTGTATCTTGTATGGTATTTTGGATAACTCACTAAGCTTTGTGTTTACGGTCTTCAATTTATGTTTCAGGTACTTCAGTTTTCAAATGAGAGGACTCGGGATGATTGCAGAGCACACACCCCATGTTTTCACATTCTGTGAAATATTCTGATTTAACGATGTTTTGCTAAGACTCGGTTACCTTGGTTATACGGGAAAGTTATGTATTAACGATTTATTAATCTAAAAAAAAAATTTATGTCAAGATTTTCGGGATGTTATATATATATATATATATATATATATATATATATATATATATATATATATATATTATTAAAAGTAATTTTTTGCACAAAATGCATAAATTCGTGCATCTCACGAGACATATTGTTTTAAGTATGTTATTTTTTCATGTGTTATACATTCATGTGTTATGGATTAGAAGAACTCTATCAGCCTTTGTTTGAAAAGAAATTAGCCCAATGATCTTGCTTGTTGCTTTGTTTGAAAATAAATTAGCCCAATCATCTTACTATCTTAGTTGTTGCGGGTCAAAATTTTAGACTATTCCACTTTTTTCTTGTTTTAAGGGTGTGGTTTTAGATGACTTGTTCGGCTAGTTTTTGTCTTTAATTTATATTTGGTTTTGGCTTTTTATAATTATACTAGAGGCGGAAACGGTTGAACAATATAACATCTCTCATTGTATTTTTACTCTTTCAATTATCTATTGAAAAATTAAATGTTCTTTTACTTTTCTTCTATCCACATTCTTACCCATTTAAAATTGTAAGAAGTGTCCTAAAATATTATTGAGAAAATAAAACGAGACACTTATCATAATTTTAAATGGATAGAAATGTAGATAGTAGAAGAAAATAAAAGGATATTTTCTCTTATCTGTTAAAAAAACGTTTTGGTTAAGCTTTATTTTCGTGAACACTTTGGCCTTTGCTTTGATAACAATAAGGTCCCTGTATATTTCTGTCCACACTTTGGCTATGTGTTAACACGAAGTTACTCCATAGAATTTTTATCTTCTTAATTTGCACACACTTGACCATTTTTATTCACAATTAAGGACGAAACTCTTGGAGCAAAAGGTACTCAAAGATCCATTGGCCATTGGCCATAGTTCCGATATTCTCCAGAAAGGATAAGAAAAAGATATGGGTTGACCCCACAATAAAAGTATTTATAAACTAGTTTTAAGTGTTGGAATTATCATAGATTTGAATTATTTTATTTAAAACACATTAATTAATTAGAAAAATATTAATTATAGCGACTTTCATATAACTTATTTTACTCTGATTTTAGTTTTTACTCTCTGATTTCATAGTGTGCTTTAAGTTTAATATAATTAACAAATTAAAGACAAAATGGAGTAATAGATGTATTCTGACAAGTTTATTCAAATACTCTTTAGTATAAATATAAATTCAAAACTTCTTGATTTTTTAGGACATTTGTCACATGAAAACACATCCAGCATCAAAGAAAACCCATGTTAATGAATAAACCTTTCCTAATTTACAGATAAAGAAAGTTCAAGCTGGACAAGCAAATGACATTGTGGTCGCAATTTTCCTTAAAGAGATAATACTATTTATGATCTTTCGTATGGCTGTACGTTATAATATAATTATATAAACTTTAATAATTGTAGTAGCACTACTATTTAACTTTTCTTACGCATGTACAATCGTCGAACGTAGATAGAATCGAAAATCACGTAAATAATGTATAATATTTGGAATCCCTCACGCAATATCCATTTGCCCACAACTATTTGCATCATCCTATATGATACATGCTAACTTTCTTTATGCTATAAATATAACCACTCTAGATAGACCACTCACCACACACAAGCAAACAACAACCATGGTAATTCATGGAACTCACATGGTCCGAGTTTTAGTGGTTTGGTGCATTGTGGCTAGTCCTAGTGCACGAGCTATGAACCATGGCGCCTATGCACTCTCCTTCGACTACAAGGACGCATTTAGCAAGGCGATATTATTCTTTGAAGGCCAACGTTCCGGAAAATTGCCCTCGACTCAGCGAGTTAAATGGCGTGATGACTCAGCCCTCTTCGATGGGGAGTCTAAGGGTGTACGTATAACTTAATTATAATGTTGCAGTAATCATAAGTTATATTGTATAACATGCACTTACATTAATATAACACATGTAAATGCATATCAGGTGAATTTAAGCGGTGGATACTATGATGCTGGTGATAATGTGAAGTTTGGGTGGCCAATGGCGTATACAATATGCTTGTTGAGTTGGACTGCGATCGAGTACCCTAGACAAATAAACTTCGTGAATCAACTCGGTTACCTACAGTCAGAAATCCGTTGGGGCTCCGATTTTATCCTCAAGGCACACATTTCGTCCACAAAACTTTACACCCAGGTCATTAGTTATCCACAACGTCACTAATCCTCGATCACTTATACGATACAAATTTAAATATATACTACAAATATTGAAAATTGCTAAATTAATGAAATCATTGATTTATTAACACGATCGATAACACTTTATGTATATAGGTAGGAGATGGAAACAGAGATCACTCATGTTGGGAGCGGCCCGAGGATATGGACACCCCACGAACCGTAATAGAGATCAACGCTTATTCTCCGGGGACCGAGGTGGCAGCTGAGTCTGCAGCCGCACTCGCTGCCGCATCCATTGTTTTTAAAGCGGTTGACTCTAAATACTCATCAAAACTACTAAAGCATTCAAAATCAGTATGTACCCTAGCTAATATACATACTATTATTTTACTTGTATTATTATTATCATATTTAACTTATATATATATATATATATATATATATATATATATATATATATATATATATATATATAAATTAAATTTTCAGTTGTTCGAGTTCGCTGACAAATACAGAGGATCGTACCAGGGTTCTTGCCCTTTCTACTGCTCCTACTCTGGTTACAATGTAAAACTTCCCCCCCCCCTCCATTATTTGGAACAACTTCAAAAATTTTTGTTTTATATCATACTCCCTCCGTCCCAAAATTATTGCCAGACAAAAAATATACAAATTAAGGAAACATTAATTATCATTAACTATATTAAATGAAATGACAATTATACTATTTTGTTGCATTTAATTCTATGGTAGTTATATTTAAGGGTCGTGATTCGTACACAACAATTTTTGGTCATAGACAACAATTTGTGTTTAATGGAGTTGTACAGTACAAACATATAAAACACAAATTGTTGTGTGTGGCTAAAGACTCTTGTGTACGAATCAGCACCCTATATTTAATTTCATTGTAGTTTTATTAATAATGAAGAGTATTTTTCGTAAAAATGATATTTATTTTTGGAAGTTGACACTTATTTTGGGACAAACAAAAAAAACATCGAATATTAATTTGGGACGAAGGGAGTATCAATTTCTATTTCAAGAAAACATATCTCAAACTCGAGGTCTAATTTCTTATGATGTAAGTTTAAAATCAAATAGGGAACGTAGTTACCTATAAATGTAATAGAAATTCATTTTTCTAACGGGGTTTAACAATTTAACTTAAAATTATTTGTGTACCTCGAATATACTCTTTTTTTTTTGTAATTAATGTGGTGATTATGTATATATTTATATGTATGACTTAATTTATGGGGCAAATAGGATGAGTTGTTGTGGGCATCGGCTTGGCTATACAAAGCAACTGGAGAAAGCCGATACTTGAACTATGCCATAAGCAATCAAAGGTGGAGCCAAGCCGCTACAGAGTTCAGTTGGGATAACAAGTTTGTGGGAGCTCAGACATTACTAGCAAAGGTGATAAAATATATATATATATATATATATATATATATATATATTATATATATATATATATATATATTACTAAATTTGGAAAAGTAAGCATCGATTTTTCTTCCTTTTTTAGGAATATTTTGCTGGCAAAAGCGACTTGGAGACGTTTAAAGCCGGAGTGGACTCGTTTGTATGCGCCGTGATGCCAAAAAGTGGCTCCGTCCAAATCAGGACTACTCCTGGTGAGCTCTTGGATTACAACCAAGATTGTTATCATATACAAGATATGATTAATTAAGTAGCTTAATAAAGAAACCAACATTAATTATATATTTAGGCATATTTTAGAAAAAAAAAATTACAAAAAAGACAAAAGATTTTGCTAGGCTCCATATAAATCAAAACTATATTCTAATTGAATTTTATAACACTAGTAAGGGGCTATAAAACCTAAAAAATTACAAAGGGACAACAATAAATGGGTTATGTAACAAAGTATTTCAGTAATTTCACGATTTGTACTAACAAACTAAGTAAACGAATAATTAATTATCATCGCGAAAAGAGTATTCCTTCTACGCCTCTTATCATCAAAAGATAATATTGTTAAGAAAGCTCCAAAGCACCTACCAAGCCATTAAAACAACACCTTGAATAGCCCATATTTTAGTATAGGATAACTCTAACAAGTCCATCCACGGTATAAAATAATAGTCGAGCAAAAGGAATAACCTGTAAATATGTCAACCGTTAACTTCACACTTTAACATCTCGTTTCCGAGTTATAGCAAAGAAAAGAAAAGAAGATAAAAGAAAGTAAGGAGAAAAAAGAAGAGAAAAGAAATGAAAGAAATTTGTCTTTTGTGTTCCCAAGTTGGAGAGAAATTGAATGAAAATTAAATATTCTGTTCTTTTCTCCAAATCTTTCCAAATCGAAAGGAAAATTAGGAGGGAAAGTGATCATTTCATTTCCTTTCATTTCATTTTTTTAATGAAACTCGAGAACACCAAATTCTGTTACTTTCTTCTCACTTCCACTCATTTTATTTCTTTTCTCTCATTAAGTTAAACTCGAGAACGAGGTGTAAGAAAAGACAAGTCATCTCTATTTTGTGTTATTAGAACACAGTGGACATAAAATCGAAGACACATTAATACCCATGTTTACTTTATCTGTTCTCGTGGAAAGACGGTTCAAAATGAGACGACATGCTAGAATGTTTACTTTCCTTGGAAAAAAATGGTTCCACATCGTAGCAACGTTGCCATCATCCAACATAAAATCATCTATGCAGTGTCTAGTACCATAGATCATAAAATCTCCTAAGTTGTCTAAATCCCAAATACACTTGTCTCTTTGTGAAATCGGATGAACATTCGCAACTAAAGTCACGATCTTTACAAGTAATGAGATATCAGATCCACCTCTCACGTCCCCCAACGAATTCCAATACCACATGTTATCCACTTACTGATCTCTAATAAGGCACTCTTTATCTCTTTTTAACAAATATAATCTTGGAAAACGATTCTTTAGAGGCATGTCACCAACCTAAACATCCTCTCGAAACATGGTTAAAGCATCATCCCCAACCTTTTTATGAAGATTAGAATGAAGAACTATCCTTTTCTTTCATGATTTTTGTTAATGGAAGCTCCGATTCTCGACCAAACCCCAATCCACAGATATGGGCATCACCAAGTTGTAAACCAACACTAGTACCGTGTACGCACTTGACAACCTTGAGCCAAGAACATTATCGTCATTCAAAAATCCCTACATCCATTTTTGAAGTAATGCATAATTAAAACATTCCAAACTTCTAATTTAGACTCCACATTTTTCTTTAGACGCAAGTACCAACTCCCATTTCACCAAGCAATTTTCCTTGTGCCTCCTTCATCGCTCCAAAAAACCGTTATATAAGAGCCTCAAAATATTTTTTTGATACTAGTCAGAATATATAAAATAGACATATATTAATTTTTTAAGGATTCTAGAATTGAACTTCTGGACATAAAACAACCACTAACCGAAACCATCTTAGTCTTCCACTTTGAGAGTTGATTTTCAAATATGTCAATGGCCACTATAGCCATGTTCGATCCGACGGGAATACCAAGATATGTAAACATGTATTTTTTCCAATCTATAGCCTATCAAATCCATAAGTAGTACCACCATATCCATGTACGATATTAAAAATATTCTCACTTTACCACTCTTCCAACAACAATACATCATATGCATAAATTAAATGAGAAGTCATAAGGACAATGTTTCTAACCTTAGCTCCTTTATATAAGTCGACCACAATAACAACTTAAATAACGATGTGTAATTCTTCCATGAATCGTATAATTTGTTCTAGATAATCATAACTAAGTATGTCATACACCTTTTTAAAATCAGTTTTAAACCATGAGTTGTTTCTTTCTTTTCTTGTATCATTCTACTAGCTCATTCACCAGTAACGCCCATCACGAAGCTGTTGTCTCTTTATAAAAACATATTTATAAGACTTATAGGCTAAAATTCCTTAACCCACACCAAGTTCACCACTTTAGGAATTAACATAAAGAATGAGAAATTGCACACCGGTGAGATATCAGTAGTAGCATACAAATATTTTACAAGAAAAAAATATATGTTTTATACATCCCAATACCTTTTCACTGAAGCTAGAGTAAAACTATCAGGAACATGTGCCTTTTCACTACCATACTACCACATCACATCTTTAACTTCTTGAATTGTGAAAACTGATTCCAAAGATGACAGTTGAGCCGAAGAGAGAGTTTTAACTTGGGGATTATAGTTTAAGATATGAATCTAGAGGATTTTTTTCATAAAAATAATAATCAAAAAACACCTTTTTAACCCATACTAGGTTAGTAATCCCAATATCTTTCATGTTTAATACCCTACATAGCCAATTGTCATTCCGATTAAGAATACCATGGAATATTTTGGAATTTTCGTTTTCTTTAATTCCTCACTTGATCTTTGTTTTTAAGCCACATTATGAATCTCTACTCTCTCCAAATCACTTAATTCTTTTCGAATATTGCACATTTCCATATCAATTTTTTGAGATTAATTTCCATCTGACTTTGTCCACTTCTAACAACCTCATTTGAATCTCTTGTTTTACACCATCTTTTTTGCTTTTAAACTCCCTTTGCCAAACTTTGATATCCATCTTTAAATTAATGAATTTTTTTCTTATTTTTTTTTTCTCCTAATTATTTAACATACGAAAATTCAAAGTATTGTTCACAGTTTCACCGAAATCTTCCAACTCCATCCAAGAATTAAATATATTTAAAGGAATAAGACCATAATTCCCCAAATATTTTTTTAAGAATGACATGCCTATGATCTAAACCATACACTCCAAAGCCACAAAAGTGATAAATAGGAAGACATCAACCACATATTCAAAAATAAAAAACTTATTCAGTTTACTCAAATTTTCACAGCCTTTATTCATTCTAGTAAAAGCAAAACCACCCATAGTAATGTCATATAGATACACTTATGAAATGAAGGTATTAAAATGATAGGAAAAATATTAGAAAAAAAATTGACCTTAACCTTTCCAAAGGGTCTGGCACAAGAATAAAGTCTCCAAACAATATACACGATCATTGCCGACGTTGCATAAAAATGAATATAATTCTGAAGCATCGTCTTACTATTATCATCTTGAGCAACGTACATGTTAATCATAAAAAACATAGATTTAGAATACACCCATTCTCCTTCAACTAAGTTAATTATCCATATATGTAATACTACTTCACACAAGAACAAAAGGACCCCAAATGGAGAAGATTCCCACTTCTTGACCCCTATTACTCCTACAAGCATAATCAAATTCACAATTAAGCACAAGGTTTTAATTATAAAAAGATCCAAGATAGTCACATGAAAGTATTGGATTCTCAAACAAAAAAATTCTTGTACTTTAAACATAAATTTATAATTGGTCGCCTCTTGTTATTGTTTCCAATACCAAAAGCATTAAAAAGACAAAACATTCATTTATCACCAACCTTCTCTCATGTTCTATTAATCAAATTTATTAAATCGGTCTTACACCATTCATTTTGAACCCCAAAACATTTCCCATTTGAGTCTTACAAAGGATTTTCGTTAATCAAATAAACTTCATTTCTCCTTTTATTTACTACTCTTGTGGCATGTGACTTACATTTTGAATAAGCAACTAACATGGCTGAAAAACTAGAGAAATTCACAAAAAACGAAAGTCGAGACAACCTCCAACATAATTAAAGTAAATGGTTTGTTGGATGGAAGCTTTGAAACATTTAGAGAATGGAATCGGACACCTCCAAAACCAAGATGTCTTTAGCTTGACGAAATCAGATTTAGGGTCGAATTCAGCCCACCGAATGAAGCTAACATTTTGGCCAAGCACATGTGAACCTAATTCCAAGACATCACCCCATTGATGCTTGGTTTTCCTATCTTGATCTCCCTCAACCGAAGTAACATCAATAATTTTACCATTTATTAATTCTTCATGTAAATTCTTTTCAGATTTCCTTTTGAATTTTTCTTCTTAATTTTGCAACTTCTTTTTGTTTTTCATCCGCTTTACTATTACCCTTTGAGTTATGGTCATGCCCTTCCTGTTTTTACATTTCATTCTCATCAGACTCACCACCATTAGCATCTTTATCCTCCTCCTCAAAGCTATTATCTGAATTTTGTTGTTTATTATCATTTTGAACCACATTATCTTCTTCTTTTATGATTGTTGGAACACACCCCGATATCTCCCCAACACACACACATCATAATCCAAGTCATCAATGGAAACCGTAACCTTTTTTGGATATAATGCTAGTAATTTGATACAGACTCTACCGTATTGAAGATTTTTCATTTTGATAATCATCCAAAACATGTCCTCTCCCAATGTACCAACTACCATTTTTGAAGCATTTAGAGTCCATGCACAAAAAGGGAGTCCATCAATTTCTATCTGAACCATTATTTTATTCATAAGAAATTTCATTGATGTTGGTTTCAATTCATTAAAGTACCATTTCATATCATCATGTTTCTTGAACTTTAAAAGCACACACTTAGGGACTTAAACTCCATCGATATCCAAAATATATTAAATCGCATTGTTAGAAAATCCTTCCTAATTAAACACTTTATGAAGATTCGCTAATTAAAATAAAATGAACATCATGAACATAACCC